TGCAGATCCAGTTTAGTTTCAAACCAACTAAACTTCAGTTCTGAAGAAAACACATTGAATGACACCTAAAGTGTATAATTAAATATTCTAATGATCACTGCCCTGCATATTAATGGGATGCAGGGGAAGAAAACCTTGTGTCCTCTACCCCTCAGGTTGTACACTCTGGGACTATGAACTTACACTCCGTCTTAATAAAGGGTCATACGTGATAGAGAAGCAATTAGACAAAGCTTAAAAGGAGGGACTGTAAATTATGGGAAATGGATGGTAGATCAGGTTTGTTTAGTAAGGTTTGTAAGGCAAGCTCATTGCCTCACATTCTGCAGTAGGTAAGAACTTTCTCTTCCTGCTGTGGGAGGGAGGAGAAGCTGTACAGGTAGAAATTTCCTTTACAGGTGGGATATTTATGTCCATCTTAGGAAGGGAAGGAAAGCAGAGTTTCTTCTGTGACTGCCATTTCTCAGCAGCCCTCAGCTTTAGATAATCCTTGGGCCAGTGTGGGGCATTGAGTGATGTATTCTGATCTCTTCAAGAAAATTATTTGGGAAAATGTATTGAATTTAATAAGAATCTAAAAGGCAAGTATATATTCAGCTACAGTCCTATTGGGGCATAAGCAGACATAGCTATATAAGTTTTTATCCCCTTGGACTGGGGAGATAGCTCGGTGGTCTAAGCAAGCACAAGGACGTGAATTTGATCCCTGATACTACATGGTGTGCTGGCCCTGAAACTGGGCACGGTGGAGCACGCCTGTAATCCCAACGCTGGGGGTGCTGAGAACAGGAGGATCACTATGAATCTGAACTGTGTAGTGAGACCCTGTATCCAATTTAAAAAAAGAAAAGCTTTCATCTGCTTGCCCACCGCGTAGGCTTGGAGCCCAGGCAGCGTACCTCTTGGTCCAACACGCTGTCTTCTACCTTGCGTCGTTTGCACAAAGATGATATTATTTCATGGATTTACAAAGCAAACAGCAGGCAGCTCACCATTTTGCTTCTGCAGCAGCGAGATTCAACTGATCCTTTCGAGATCAGGAAAGTTGGCTCCTACCTGTATTCATAACAGGACGCCTCGAGGGGAAGAGGCGACGGCTGACTGGCACTTGCGAGTTGTTACATATTTCTCCGTTTTGGTTTTTCTGTTTGACAGCAGCAGCGTGCAGGCTCACATCCAGCCGGCCCCCCATGTCAGTGGTCTAGGATGGCCAGTGAAGCCACCAACATCCCAAGCCCTGTGGTACGCCAGATCGACAAACAGTTTCTGATTTGCAGTATATGCCTGGAACGGTACAAGAACCCCAAGGTCCTCCCCTGCCTGCACACTTTCTGCGAGAGGTAAGCCTCTTCGGTGCTCTGCGGAGGGACTTACACGTGCTGACTCCTGCCACGGGCCACGGGCTCGTTCCCAGAATTCTACCATTACCATGAGAGACAATAAGTCTCTGTCCTCCGGACAGACATCTAGAAATCAAATCATGAGTTGCCAGCAGCTTACCTTATTTCAAACACTCCTTACAAGGAGGAGAAAGCAAATCCAGGAGCTATTATGGGTTTATTTCCAAAGGAGAGGGAGCACTAAACATTTCAAGATTAAACATTTTCTATTCTTTGTTCTCTGTGGAATGATTTTGCTGACAGCTTTTTCCTCAGAGTGCCCTTTCTGAGGGCCAGTTATAAATCTGTCATTCCCCCATCGCAGATAAGGTGAAATGCCTCCACACATAAGGGGTGAATCACACTAAACCTTGGGCCTTTGCACTGAGCTGTATGCCCAGCTGCTTATTGATTCATTTATTTATACACAGGGTCTTGCGAAGTTCCCAAGTTGGGCTGGAACTTAGGGGCCTCCTTCTGGCCTCACAGAGCACTGGGCTCTATGAATCCTTCTGAGAGGATCTTTTTAGAGAGGGGTGTAAGTCAGTTATGAAAATGCACTGTACCCTGTTGTTCAGCTAAGCGCATTTGAAATTAGACGTGAAAAGTCTGTGATTAATCTGTCTGTGGCCCCGTGTAAATATTTTTTTAGTAAGCTTTTGTGTTTTTCTTAAAAGCAGTCATAGTGATTACCCAGTATAGCACTTGACTAAGTAAGTTTTCTATACGGTATTATCTAAGATACATAATTAAGAGCCAGCGAGATAGCTCAGTGGGCTAAGTGCCTCCTTGGCAAGTACAGGGATTGGGGTTTGATCCCCAGTACAGCGTGCTGTACTGACCCCACCCCCTGGGCACCCCAAGCCAGCCACTGAGACCGGCATGGTGGCACACACTTGTAATCCCAGCTCTGGGAAGGCTGAAAACAGGAGGACCACTACAAGTTTGAGCTGCATAGCGAGACCCTGTACCAAATACATAAAATGAAAAAGAAAAAGATATATAATTAAAAGATTTTGCTTCTCATTAAGGAGCAGGAAATCAGGGCTTCAGAGATATACTGATTACATGTCTCCCTATTTTTACACTGGTTACCTGAAACATCTGCTTGGTATTTTTTGAGTTGATGGAGGTCTAGGCTACACAAGAATAACCACATCCTTGGTGGCGGTGATGGGTGGAAAAGAAAGTGGATTTGTTACCAGTGGCAGTGGTTTTTAGTCCTTTGGGATTGTCGTGCATGTATGTGGATAGACATGTTTTGTTGTTTTAGTGGTAACACACCAAAACTTTCCAGTTTGTGGTTTGAATTAAGTATTTTGTAATTTATATTCCAAATTAGTTAGAATGTGATTTTCCCCCATCCTTGATGGGTATAGTTAAAATATAAATACCGGGCAGCTGTCCCTGGGTCCCTGTGCACGTATGCAAGGCCCTGACTTGACATGGACCAGGAGCCCCGCTGGCTTTGCACATACCGTACTGACAGCTCCTCGGTCTGAGCTCAGCAGAGCTGCCAGGTCCTGCTCTTGGTGACTTGCCTGTCTCTTAGGAGCTCTCTCCTGATTCCAGCAGGTGAGCAGTGCCACATGGGAGCAGCGCCGGGGCTGGCCCAACCCACCCGTTTCCCACCTGGTGCTTAGTGGTGGTGCGTTAGGAGCTCCTGTCACAACGAGTACCCATGAAAGGCCGTGTGTTAAAATTGTTCTAGCATCATGTACTTTGAAATACTTCCTTTTGAAAGTGATGGCCGCTCTTTCTTAAAGCAGGGAGATTTTCCTTCAGCAGAGACAGAACCTCACTGCTTGCCTCTGTCTCTAGCGCTGAGCCCAGGGCCCTCAGCCTGGACTTAGCAGCACCCTCTGCCTGGGCCGGCTACAGCCTTGTTCTCCTGCCCAACTTTGCAAGCACCACTGAGGCCAGAAGGAGACCAAATCCTGATGCCATCACTGGCCTACTGGAGGAGCCTGTCATTCGCCCTCTAATGCTCAAATTAATGTGAAATTAAATCGTAGACAAATGCTACCCACCAGAATTACACCAGACAAGCACAGAGTAGGGGCATCTGCCCCGATCAGAGAAGGCTTGCCTACAGGAGTGAATGCTAAGCCGCAATCCTAAGTGCGAGTGGAAATGAAGCAAAGGGAGGAGAAGGAACAAATGTCAGGTACACTCAGTATTGCTGTGGTAGGGGTCTGTGACACCAGGGACCCACCTGTGTCCACTGTGCTCTGGGGCAGCAAATGGGAGCAAGACGCAGCAAAGCTGTAAGTTCATGGTCATGCCAGGATGATCTCTGCTCCTCCCTGGGGGCTCTTCTGTGTTCTACAGGATCAGTGGAGACCTGGGGCAAGTCCTCCTGTGAAAGGGGAGGAAGGGACGAGCCACACGGCTACTTCTGAATATTAAGATTATTCTGGTTGCCAAGCAGAAAAGACTGGAAGTGGCACAAGGAAGTGACAGTACACCAGGCTAAGTCTACCCAGGAATGCTGGGAAGGCTGGCATGAGGGGATGGAGAGAGATGAGGGGTGAAAAAAACAAGGCACCGACCAGCCCTAGTGATGGGTTGGGAGTGGGAAACGCAGACGGGTAGGGGAACTACTGTTGTGTGGATGGCTCTTAGTTTCTGCTTTGCTTAGGTCAGAGATGGCAAACCTCTGAGAGCTTTCAGTGATGACAGCCAGCCTGCTGTGTCGCGTGTGCCATAGGTTCAGCACCACTGGCTTAAATGAGGGGCAGAGATGCCGCTGATCTAGCTGAGAAAAGCACCCCGTGTGGGGAAGATCACTGGTCTGGTTATAAAATCCTTTTTTTTTTTTTTTTTTTCGGAACCAGGGATTGAACTCAGGCCCTTACACTTTCCAGGCAAGCACTTATTCTACTGAGCTATCTTCCCAGGTCCACTGGTCTGGTTTTGGACATGTTGAGCTCTAGGACCTGGGAGGTCCCTAAGGGAAGCTATCAGGAGGGGAGTGGTCTGCAGATGTGACAGCTCTGAGGAAGAAACAAAAAAATAAAGGATGTGAGAGTCCTACCTGTTGCTGGGTCTGTAGATATAATATTCCAGGAGAAAAGAGGTCATAGGGTGAAGCCTTGATTAAAACCAAATGTTATCAACTCAGAAAAAAATAGAGCAGGTAAGAACAGGTCCAAATGAGTGGTGCCATCCAGACAGGGGAAAATAAAGTGGCAACGGATGGTCACAGTTGATAGGTGCTGTTGAGGTGTCTTGTAAGATGGGTATCTTTAATGACCTTGGCAAAGGCTGTCTTATTTCTGGTATTGATTTGGCACTGCCTACTTTTGTAACATGGAGAAGATCAATGAACCCTCCTTGATGTAAAAAATCAGTTTTTAATTAATGAAATCCATTTTCATTGTGCTTGCCTGGTTTCTGTATCTTCAAAATTAGAGAATGGGGTCAAAGCAGTGGCTTTCATGTCATTGGCTAAGAGACTGGAAAATATAGAATAATACAGTTAGTTAGTTAGCTAGTTGGTTAGTTTTTGCAGTGCCGAAGATCAGACTCAGGGCCTTCTCTACGCCGGGTGAGCACTGTACCCCTGAGCCCTCAGCCCCAGGTCTACTTGCATAGAGTGTAGATTGCAGTGTCAGACTGCCTGGGTTTGGATGCCGGCTGTGCTCCTGACCAGCCAGGCACCCCCTTCACCTGATCCAAATAGCATTTCCTTTGTAGATTCTTGGAAGAACATAGCAAGCAGTCACCATTAGTAATACATTTCTTTTCTTTTTTCTTTTTTTTTTTTTTTGGTGGAACCGGGGATTGAACTCAGGCCCTTGCGCTTGCCAGGGAAACACTTATTCCACTGAGCCATCTCCCTGGCCCCAGTAATACATTTCTTTAATTGAGTTAAGTCGATGCCTGTGCAGAAGAGACAGTATGATTTCTGAATCTAGGAGCCCCATCCTGCTGCAACGAAACATTTCCATTTTGATTGTTCTTAATATCTGCTTGTGACTCTGTGTGTAACATTAATTTCAGTAAGAACAGCAACACGTGATCTATTTGTTCCAGTTGTAAAAGTCACACAGTCGTGAGCCCAGTGGCACATGTGCTTGTCCAGGGTTTCTCATACTCGAATGCGTGTGCCAGTCACCTGGGGCCTGACTCCGTAGGTCTGGATGGGGTCTCAGATTCCGTGTTTGCACCCAGCTCCCTGGGAGGCGATGGCTGCTCATCTGGGTTCCACACTCTATGCCAAGAATCAGGAAACACCACAGAAGCCACTGACGGTTTTCTTTTCCTTGCACATGACCTCGAGCATTGTCTGGCCACCTGACAGGGCCAGTGCAAGGCTAGGTTAGCTCGTGGCTTCTGAACTGTTTCCCAAGGTCCCTGGGAGAGCATGCGAAGTATCCCCCTAGTTTAGGAGAATGATGCCTGTAGATAACGGTGCAGCCCGGTCCCTAGAGGCTAAGTACTAATTCCCCCGCCCCCCACAGGTGCCTGCAGAACTACATTCCTGCCCACAGCTTAACCCTGTCCTGCCCAGTGTGCCGCCAGACCTCCATCCTGCCTGAGAAAGGGGTGGCCGCACTCCAGAACAACTTCTTCATCACAAACCTCATGGACGTGCTGCAGCGAACACCAGGCAGCAACGTGGAAGAGTCCTCCATCCTGGAGACAGTGACTGCTGTCGCCGCAGGAAAGCCTCTCTCCTGCCCGAACCACGATGGGAATGTAAGTGCAGTAGATGGACTGCGCGTGCAGCCCGGCAGCCTGGTGGCTTTGGCCTGGGGGTTTCGGGCATTAGTGCTGGACATTAAACAGATCTTCACCTGGAAACTGAGTGATTGCCAAGGGTTTTTATTTTTTTTATTAACACTATTTGGCTTGCTTTACTTTCTATGGTCGGAAGGATTTAATTAATGAAATCCATCTTCATTGTGCTTGCTTACAATACACTGTTGATATCCCCAGGAGAGCAAATTAGTAGCTATTTGCAAACTGCTCAGTCTGACCCACATAAACTGTGGGTCATAAATTCTGTATAAAAATTTAATAATAGGTAAGTTGTGCAAATGGAGGGTGATTATTAAAGTGTTAATTCACTAGATTTTTTATCTTTCTTGTGGGGGAAATCTTTTTCATTTTCCTTGGAACTGTCTTCCCTTGTTCCTCTGATAATAGGTTACAGATGCCAAACATTTCCTGACACGCACAAGTACAAAGCTGTGACAGGCTCAGGAAGACCTGCAGAGCACCCGAGAGCTGTTCATTAGGATTCTGAAACCAGGCGGGGAGGATCATCCTGGCCAAGAGCGCTCCTCTAGGGCCAGAGCACCCTTGTACTGATTCCCTCAGTGAGCTTTGACAAGTTTCCAAAACTCTCTATGTCCCACTTCCTCTTTGGAAAAGAGAAGTATTAATAGCGTTTGCTGTATAAGATTACTGGAAAAATGAAATATTTAAAAATCATACGAGGGACACGGTAAGCTCGATATAAGTTAGCTATCCAAATTATTTCTTGGGGGTTATGACATAGCTCAGAGGTAGAGTGCTTGTCTGGCAAACACAAGGCTCTCAGTTCGAGCCCCAGCACTGCAGAAAAAAATATATAACAAAACTACATATAATATGCGTATAAAATTGTTGTTAGTAAATGTTTTTAACGCCAGGGATTGAACGGAAGGCTTACACATGCTAAGCACATATTCCACTGCTGAGTTACATCCCCAGCCCTAATATTATTTCTAATTAATGACTTTCCTCCCTTTTTTCTTTGTATATGACCCACTTTATTTTTTGGTATCAAGAATCCAACTCGGGACCTCAAGCTTGCTGGACAGCTGCTCTGTCCCAGCTCCACCCACTTAAAAAGTATTTGAAACTGTTTATGCTGAAAGTCCTAACTACAATAAGACTATGAGGCAAGTGACCTTTGGGGACCGGCCACCACCTTTGGGGACCGGCCACCACTGTTAGGCACCACAGTCTGCCAGCCTCATCTCCGCCCACTCACTGACAGCCTTCTGCCCCGTTGTGTCCCACCTCCAGGCCTGTGTGTCCTTTCTGCTCATTCTCACCTCTCAACCCTCAGCACTAAGAGCACCCTCCCTGGCGGTACCTGTGAGCCACGTGACATTTACCTTCTGTCACGTACGTCGCCTCCTGTGCTGCTGCCCAGTGCCAGCCATCACTGGGGATTGTCCACCCCAGGGTCCCGCTGCTTCCAGAGGACAAACTGCGGAAGCACGGGGCATAGCTCACTTCGTACCCTTTGTACGAAGCACAGTGTCTTAAGCAGGGCATTCCAGGCTGAAAGCCTTCCCGCCGCCATATTTGCCCCTGACATCTACCCTGCAAAGTAGCAGTTCATTTCCTTCATTTTATAGATCAGAGATGCAGGCTTGAAGGCTTTAAGCCACAGAGCTAGTTAATATATCATAAATGCCAGACCAGGCATGAATAGCACTATCACGAACTTCTTGGAAGCTCAACCAAGAAAAAGACGCTATAGATTACGTAGCTATATTGCCATAGGTTACGTATCTGCAACTGTTTAATTGGAACTTACTGGACTGTAAAGGACGATCAGGTTTTCTGAGCATTGTATCACAAGGAAGAGTTACCACATAAATTTTGTTTACAAGAGCCTTAAAGGGTGCATTCCATAGCGGTTGGGACATTTTTCTAGGAGGCTGTTTCCATAGTAAATGCTGAGGCTGTCCCTGCTGGAGCCTGCATTCTGAATACTGGTTAGGGGGAAGCATTTGTGTCAGATGCCTGAGTGCTCTTCAAGTGTAGTTCAGGCTGGGGGCTCTCTGCAGACCTCACTTCCTAAAGGCACATGTTTTAGGAACACTAGGAGGCCTACAGTAGACGCTGGCCTGAATGTGGGCTGCGAGAGCACAGTGGTGTGGAACGAGGACAAGGACAACTGGCACAGTGGCATCAGGAAGCAAAGTGAGAACATTCTGGACTCTAGACTGGCAGGTCCTGGGGATGGGGGGTAGGAAGCCAGGTAGGGAGCAGAGTGACAGGGAGGAGCCCATAAAAGTAGGCATGGAGACTGTGATGAGCTGCGACTGTCACCCAGCAAGTGCCCGACCCGAGTCCCATCAGCAGTGTGAGAGCATCAATGATCTTGAATTAGGGGTGATATTTTATTAGTCTTGTGGGGGGGGTTAGGGTAGCAGAGACCTAAGTCTGTGACGCCAGATCTGAACTTACTGAGTTGTTCAAATGAGAGCTAAGAGGGGCTGGGGAGATGGCTCAGTAGAATAAGTGCTTGCCTAGCAAGGGCTAGGGCCTGAGTTCAATCCCCAGTTCCGCAAAAAAAAAATGAGAGCTAAGAGATAGAACTAGATTTGTGTCCATGGGTCTAGAGAAGGGAGGATGGATTTTAGATAAGAGAGCTTTTCCCTCAACAATCTGCCTTTCACAAGTAAAAAGTCATGTGCTCAAATCTGTTATCATAAGCTAGCGAGATTATGAAAATTTGAACAAATAAAAGCGATGGTATACTAGGTCATTAAGAAGACATCGCTGTGGCTTCCTGTGTGTAAACCAAGCTCCTGCACAATGTACTAAAATTACATTAGTAATGTGCTTATGGGGAAGCTCTGTGTGTGTGTGTGTGTGTGTGTGTGTGTGTGTGTGTGTACATGGTGCCAGGACTCCAAACCAGGGCCTTGTGCATACCAGGCATGGGCTGTACCACTGAGCTCCATCCTCAGCCCCCAATTTTTTTTAAGCTCATAATTATTCAGTCAATGCAGCGTGTATGGGTAAAATGAAATCTCTACCCAGGAAAAAAAAATTTTTTTTTTTTTCACAGAACCAGGGATTGAACGCAGGCCTTTGCGCTTGCCAGGGAAGCAATTATTCTACTGAGCCATCTCCCCTGCCTCTACCCAGGAAAAATTTTAAGTTGAAGTTTTTTCCTTTGTTTTCAAAGAACTCAGTAAGTTAGGAAAGGAACAACAAAATGAAGATAGGAAATATAAAAGAAAGAAAACAACAAATGCAATTCATAGTATGTATATTTATAGATGATAAGATAGAAAGCTATTCAGTTGATAAACCCGGATACCAAAACCTAGTGAAGAAATCCTCCTAAAATTAGTAATTCAACTTATGGTAGTGATTGTAAAATTCTCAACTGAAATGCCACCCTGCCCAAGTTCTCAATATGTAAAAAGTACTTTATGATCATCACAAAAGAAAATGAGCAAGGAACTCAGAAAACTCCATAGTGGAGGTATAAATTGCTAATGATTATATGGAAAAAAATAATTTAAACTTCACAAATAATGAACTCTTCTTAGATTCAGCTATGGATTTTATGAAACGTAATAACCAGAGTTGATGAAGATATATGCATGTGGGGACATTTTTATATGCAGTGCATGGCAGAGTCAATTGCTTTTCAGAAAATTGACATCAGGGGGCCAGGGAGCTAGCTCATCAGGCTAAGCGCCTGCCTGGCAAGTACAAGAGCTTGGGTTCCATCCCCAAACCCGGGTGTGGTAGCACATACCTGTAATCTGTAATCCCAGCACTAGGAAGGCTGAGACAGGAAGATCACTATGAGTCTGAGCTGCGTAGTGACCCTATACCAAATAGATAGACAGACAGACAGACAGACAGACAGACAGACAGACAGATAGATAGATAGATAGATAGATGATTTTATTTTATTTTTTTAAATTTTTTAAAGTGGTTTCTTTTTCTTTTTTTAATTTTCATTTATTTATTTGTGTGTGTGTGTGTGTGTGTGTGTGTGTGTGTGTGGCCAGCTCAGCCCACCAGGGGGCGGGGCTGGCTGGCATGTGGTGCTGGAGGATTGAACCGCCGTCCCTGTGCTTTTGCCAAGCTTGTTCTAAGTAGGTGCTTTAGACCACTGAGCCATCTCACCAGCCCAGATAGATGATTTTAAAAAACTTTTTTGAAAAAAGAAAGTTGACATCAATTTAGCAAAATATAATGAGTACTTTATATAATCTTTTAATCCGCAATGCCATTAATAGAATGATTTCTTTTTTTTCCCCCTTGGTACCTGGGATTAAACTCAGGACCTTGAGCTTGCCAGCCAGGTACTTAATGCTGCTGAGCTATCTCCCCTACCCTGGTAGAATTATTTCTTTTTATTTATTTATTTATTTATTTATTTATTATTGATTTTAATGAGAAAAAAAGATAAAGTAGCAATGAAACTGTTTCAAAACAGGTTAGCAGGACACTTACAATAATTCATACCTTGCATATTTTGTCTTCATAGTAGTTATTCAGAGGACAAGATGCAGACATTATATCTTCCCTAAACAATGTTAATACA